TTTTTTTTTTTTTCATAGTTGGCTTCAGCGTCTGAGCTGTTATGCTTGTGTTTTTTTCTTAGGCTAGCTTAGAGCTTTTCTTTGTCGTGCGTGGTGTTTTTTTTTTTTTTTAGGGGGATGTGGGGTGGGGTAAGGTCCTCAGATTTTTGAGATAGTTTAACATGCTATCAGTTTTGTGCTTCTGCCAAAGGTCACACCTTGTCCTTGGACCAAGTTCAAGTATTGTTAGGATCTTGACCATTGCAACTTCTTCCAACACAAATGTGTCTAAATTAGAAGAAGGCAATTGCACTGTCATCCTTTATTTGATTGATTGATTGACTGACTGAATAACTCTGCTAAATTTATCGATTTCAAATGAAGGGAGTTGCTGGGCATTCTCAACGGTTGCTGCTGTGGAAGGAGTAAATCAGATAGCAACAGGTGAGTTAGTATCCTTATCAGAGCAGGAGCTGGTGGAATGTGATAAGTCTTATAACCAGGGATGCAATGGTGGTCTTATGGACTATGCCTTCCAATTCATCATCAACAATGGTGGAATTGATACTGAGAAAGATTACCCTTACAGAGGTCGTGATGGCAGATGTGATCAGAATAGAGTATGTGTTTTAGTTGAATCTGTAACCAAAAAAGATAATATATTTGATTTAGATGAATATCATTTCTTGTTGACTAGTCTAAATTACCTTGTGTTGTATGATTATCTTCGTTTATATTTTATCAGAAAAATGCTCGGGTTGTTTCCATCGATGGTTATGAAGATGTTCCGACAAATGATGAGAAGTCATTGAAGAAGGCTGTGGCAAATCAACCTGTTAGTGTCGCCATTGAAGCTGGGGGCAGAGCTTTTCAACATTACCAGTCGGTATGATCTTATCACAGATTGTTTTTTTCTCTTGGCACAGTGACATTCTAATTGGTTTTCCTTCCCTCGCTTAGTACACTACTATTTAGTCAATGAGCCCAGGTTAAGGTTCAAATTTCTCGGAGGGATTCTAAGGGAGGAAGGTAAAGTTTAAGATCTATCATTTGAAATGTAGCTACCCTTGGAATGGAGCAATCTTCATCAAAGTGGACGTTGATGGGAGACTAATGATAACTTCTTTTTTTAACATGCTCAAGATGACATTACTAGCTCAAGCATTGACTTCTATTTGAAATTTGAATTGTTCAGGGTGTTTTCACTGGACTGTGTGGAACGGACCTAGACCATGGAGTTGTTGCTGTTGGGTACGGTACCAAAGATGGGGTAGATTATTGGATTGTGAGGAACTCGTGGGGTCCCAACTGGGGAGAGAATGGGTACATCAGATTGGAGCGAAATGTGGCCAATACATCTACTGGGAAATGTGGGATTGCAATAGAGCCCTCGTACCCTACCAAGAGCGGTCAGAATCCTCCTAACCCCGGTCCATCTCCTCCATCTCCAGTAAAGCCTTCCACGGTTTGTGATGACTACTACACTTGCCCTGAGGGAACCACTTGCTGCTGTGTATACGAGTATGGTAACTACTGCTTCGGTTGGGGATGCTGCCCCCTTGAATCTGCCACTTGCTGCGATGATCACTCAAGCTGCTGCCCCCATGACTATCCCATCTGTGACCTTGATGTTGGGACTTGCCTAATGGTAATTTAATCATATACACTCTTTTACTATTTTTGGGGAAAGTCGTAACGTTTGTGAAGATGTTTATGGCTATATATTAGATTTCTCCTCTTGCTGATATTATCATCCAATGTAACAGAGCAAGAACAACCCAATGGGAGTAAAAGCGTTGAAGCAAAGTCCGGCTAGGTCAAACTGGGCTCGCCTGCATTCCAGCAGGAAGATCAGCAATGCTTGATGAGCACATTCGGTTTTTATGGGGTCTTGATGAGCACAATTTCAATTTTCCTGCTTGATTGTACAGCAAGGCCTTTTCACCCTGGATTTGCTGATTTCAAACATCAAGTTACATCATTGTACATAGCCTTCTCATATCTGCTTTGACTATTATTAACAAGAACAGAAACCCCTTTATACTCTAGCCCTTGGTGTGAACTTATAAAGAAAAATCGATTCTTATGAGTGTTAAGTTTCTTATACATGCCTTTTCTTTTCAATATCATGTTAACTTAAAAGAGAAAAAGGAAACTCTTGCATGTGGGGAGTATACGAGGCAGTAAATCATTGAGATTGCCGGAGCGAATCCAAAGCTCAAAAGGTCTAGGTCTCATACGAGTCTCCAGAGCAAATCATATACAAGCGGAAGCAATTGCATTGTTTGTCCCAATGATGGTCTTTCTGATCTTATTCGTATTTCGATCAGTATAATAGATATAACTCATTCCTATTTTCTTAATTTGCTTGTCCGGTAGGTGAAGTTCGGCAAAGCAGACATCATAGGTGATAGGTGAACCGCTCATTACCCTTCCAGTCACTGCTCTTATAACTCTTCTGAGAGGTCAAAGTTCTCCATTGGTCTTGTCTCTTGAAGAGAATTTAAAGCCATCCCTTCCAACCTGTTTTATCTGGCGACTTTAGAATCATATAATCCATGAATTTTGGGAAGTTATTTTTGGTAAAACATAAGGCTCATAAAGAGTTACAATAAATGTGCATTTGAAGTCATAGAGGTGAAATAATAATTGTTTGGCTAATTCATAATTAATTATGAAAATATTGTAATTGATCTTAAATAATCTTAATTAGTTATAACTTTATTTTTTAAAAGGTATAATTGATGTTTAAAAGTAAAAAATATTATATGTATCATAATATTTTAGGGTCGATGTAAAATTTATAATTAGTCCTTGAACCTTTGACTTTAATGTTAATTTAGTCCCTGAACTTTCAATTATTCTAATTTAGTTCATCAATTATCAATTTCGTCTCAATTAAGTATTTGTATCAATTTTCACTGTCAGATCAAATGGGAACATATGATTTAATGGTGGAAATTGAATTTTGTCTCAATTTGATCTAACGGTAAAAATAGAGGAAAGGACTTAATTGAGACGAAAATCATAATTGAGGGACTAAATTAAGACAATTTAAAGTTTAAGGACTAAATTAAAATCAAAAGCAAAATTCAAGTACTAATTATGTTTTTTACCTTATCTTATACAATCGTAACTTATACCTTAAAAACTAGAAACTTGACTTTGAAAAAATACAATTTTGGTGCAATACTGTAGTCTTCCTCCAAGTTTTAATTCCTAGGTCAATGAATTGCCTTCACCATGCCACTTTCTTGTCAATAAATCACGATAATGTATTTCACATTTGGGAATTCCACAAGTTCCACCCTTATAGTCAATGCATTTAATTTTATTATATATAATAAAATTAAGTAATTATTTGATCAAATTAAGTTTAAATTTGAGTATAATTTGTTAAAACTTGACTTTAATTAAATTATTTGAATCAAATGATCAGTTTATGAGCACAAAATGTTCAAAGTTAAAACCGAATTTGGATCAAATGAAATTCGGTTCAAATGCTGTAGGTTGATCGGATTACATCCTTTGATTAAAAATATCTTAATATGTATATTTTTTTTTACAGTGATCTTACATAGATCTAATTTGATAACCGAATTCTATTTAATATTAAGACTTACTATTAATCTAATAATAATTCAAAAATAAATTAGAGTAAAGTAGTATTACTCAAATGCTACCACCAAGTCTCAACGGAAGGCACTGTTGATGTGGATTTTTGCAAATTGGAAAAAAAAAAAGAAAAAAGAATAGCTTAAGAAAACTATCAAGGGCCAACATACAATATATCGAAAGAACAGGACATTTTGGTAAATCTAGTAATTTCAACCCAGGGCTTATCTATCCTGTCCCTTTCATAGGCACGACAAAGAGGATAGAGAGAGAGGGGGGAGAAGAAGAAGAAGAAGAAGAAGAAGAAAACGACGACAACCTAGACCAGAACCCACCGCGACCATCGCTAGCGTCCCCTTCTCTTCCGTTGAGCTCCATCAGGTGTTTTTAAGCTCTACTTCCTCTCCTTTTTCGGTTTTCTATCGGTACACACTTCCATTCTTAGAGGTACTTATTGTATATTATATATATATATATAATATGTGTGTGTGTGTGTGTGTGTGTTTGTATGTATAAATTCTTGCCTATCAGTTACGAGACTGATGAGGATTGCAGATCGGAAAATGAATGGGTAGAATCTGCAAATTCAAATTTTTCGGGGTCTACAATTGGGTATAATTTTGCCACTACACCAATCGCATGAGCAATATGTGGTTTTTCAATGAATACATATAATGGTTTTGCTTCAGATCTTCGTATTTCACTTATCACCCAAAAGGGTTTTGACTAACATCTAGCTTGAGATTACAATTTCATTGGAGACTCGATACATTGCATGATTTACATATTTATCTGATGCTATATTCTGAATTGTGCGTTTTCTGTGTAGCGCGATCAAGGGTGACGTCTTTGTCACCCATGGTCAAAACACAATTGAATGTGAAATTAATTCGGTAGTCGCATGCTTCATGCAGTTGACATTGGAGTTAGCTTGCACTATATTTAATGAATGAGATTTAACCGATTTGCTGCTTCTACATTGAGATTCTGATGGATGTCCTTCCTTCGTATCTTGGTTGTTGGTTCATTACTTAGGTTTTAGTTGGGTACTCACTTCCTGTTGTGTAAGTGTGGATTCGATATCTTCTTGTTCTACTTGTAGCATATACGAGGATAACATAAATGACAAAGGTTTTGCACTTCTCCATGCTCTTTTGTTGTCTGACTAGTGTCATGATGACCCTATCTGCGAGGTCTTACACATTGCTGAAACAGCTACAACCTTTCTCACACAATTGTACATTCCCTTGTATGTGCTCTAGATTACTTATCTGCTGCAAAGGTTGGGTGTTTTGAAAAGGCTACGAATCAGTTTAGCTTGTGAAAGTTGAAAAATAATAGCCAAGGTATTAATCTGCTTTTCTATCATAATTTATTGGCATCTCTAGCGTAGTAATTTCATATATGCGCGATTATTTCAGTATGGTTGGTGATCCAAAAGAAATTGATTTAGTTCAATCATTAGTGCTGCTTTGTTTCCTTCTTTTTGTCTTGCCTTTTTGGTTTGATGGAAGAAGAAGAGGGGGAGGGTGTAGTAGAAATTCATTGTTGATTTTAATTGGGAATAGGAGAAATAAAGAAGCTTCATCGATTTTGATGTTCTCCACTGCTTTTCATTTAAGTATATTTAGGTATTGTTATTTATAAATATAATTGTATGCATCTCTCTGTCTCTCACATCTAGTTCTTTATGGCGTGTTCTGATTTCTAGTAAATCTATTAGTGATATGCTTTAATTTTTTGTGATGTAGTTGTGATTGCAAGTCTTAGTGCAATCTTACATGCTCAGTTAAATACTTCTGTTGCAGGCTCCTGTTGAGGACTCTGAGGTGGCCAAATGGATTCGGGATCTACTGATTTATCAACAGCACCTTCTGTTAAAGCTCCAGCTGTACCAGCTCCTGCTGCAGTAGATGCTGGACCAGATACACAAGATGCACCATCTAGGCTATCTGCTTCTGGGATATCCACATGGGCCAAAAATTTGAAAATCCCCCAGTCATTGCAAGGCACCCATGATGAATCACCATCCGAGAATGCTGGAAAATCAGCTTTTGCTCGTTTTACTAGTGGGTTTGGATTGCGCTTGTCTCCCAAAGCTCCTCAGGTAAATGATGGTTCTGATGAAGCTTCCACAACGTCACAACCTGGTTTTATTGGAACGCTCACAAAGGGAATAGTGGACTCATCTAGGAGTGCAGCGAAGGCTGTCCAGGTCAAGGCTCGACATGTTGTATCACAAAATAAACGAAGATATCAGGTTTGGTGCTGTCGCAAGTCTCTTATAAGTATATATCATCATCATCATCGTCCTAGTTCTTTAACTTAGAAACTTTCATTCTGTCTTGTTCCTGTTTCGAAGGTGGTTCCTCATTAGATATTGCTGCTAGCTTTGCATTTCCCTTAATTATTTTTACGAATTTGTCATGGGTCAAGTAAGTAGTGCCTTTTATCCTTCTTGCCTTGAGTTCTTTCTTAATTTTACAAACTTCTTTCTTAGTGGAAGCACACGCATTATCCTTTTATTATATCACAGCAACTCATGTATAATCTCACATTCTCCAATTATTTTTGGATAGGTAACGGCAAAGTGTTATTTAAGTGAATAAAAGAGAGTAGTACATAACAGGACAAGTAGTCCTCCAAAGATGCAAAGAGAAAGGAATAAAAGGAGAAACCTGAAACAGTTCCAAACAAATAACAATAAAACGAAAAAGCATAAAGCATAAAGCATTGAAGTTCTTGTATGATAGGCTGATAGCACTATTCACATACTTGAATTCAATAGTCTTTAGTTAAAAATAGTGTACAATATATACCATTTTTTCAAATAAGAAATGAATAGATGAAGAGAAGATTACAAAAAAAAACCACAATGGTGGACAAAAAGTCCAACCAACATGCCTAACAAAGAGAAGAAGAACAAAAATTGATACATATGAATCCATCTATGAAGCACACACAATTCTCCACTTCGGAAGATTACAAAACAAGGGAATATGCACAAGTTTCATAGGAACCAAAGCCCAAACTGATGCCAAGGACAAAATCCCTTGCCACAACCCATTCGCAATGTGTATCCATATCTACTTGGGTTGCAACCCCTGCTTATCTGAAAAAACGAATAAGGGAAGAGCCTTACAAACCAAGCCATGCTTCATAGATTATGGACTGCAATCTCATTACGTGGACTCGACACCGGGAATAGGGTGTATGGGATAGTAGTTAATGCCCGTATTTGAAGGTATTATGTAACAAAAAAAATCGTCAATTAGAAAAATTGAGAATGAGCAATAAAATAGTGGTGCACATAATGCATTAAGGAGACCAAATAAGTTTCTGGGCCCAATAAATGTAAACAATACCGTCCACAAATTTTAATCTAAAAATAGGACCCTAAAAAATTACAACATTTATGCACAATTTATATATTTTATCACCTTACCCTAGAATTCTAGTAATTGGTTTTTAAATTCTTAAAGTTCACATGAAAAAGCTAACGAATATTACCATTTATTAAATATGCACTACAAAACATTACAAATCATAGACACTTATATTCAGTTGTCACTAACACAAATTTTACCCTCACTTTTTTCATGCAATGAGGCCAATTCCTTAATACTGCCTATCAAAATACTCTTTGTACTTTTATTTTTGCATTCAAATTATAATTTTGGATATCAACTTTGTTTTTTTTGCAGTCTAATTAATCAGAAATGATAATTGGGTAAAATTAACAATCAACTGAATTCAACTAGCAAGCTTTCAACTTCCCATACCAAAATCCAACAAAAGAGCTTAAACTTTCAACTAAATGCACTACAGAAAAAACATAGAGAAATTATGCACGCACGTACACAAAAAGAGGGAGAAAGACCTGCATTCAACAGCGACCGTGAATTTTTGTCAAATGAACCTTATCGACTTTAAAACAATAGATTAAAATCTTTCTCAATGATCACAATTGCAAGAACGTCAAAGAAATTGAATATCCATGTACACCACGACAACTACTACTGAATAGGATCATAATCGCAACTCATACACAATATTAATATCACAAAAAAATTTCTAAGCACCCAAATTCTGAAATACATAATCTGATCCTAATCACAAACTTTCAAATGATTTCCAATATAATCAATACCCCCATGGTATTGGCATTGGTGGTGAGTTGGGGGTTAGAGAGAGAAGAGAAATGTGATATGAATATATGATATACTAAATCTATACTACTAATAAAAGTATGTTAAGATGAAAAACTTTTGAATCTCATTTTACTCTTATAATTAAATGTCCAAATTATTATCATATCCTTATGTATTTAAATTCTAAATTTTCTATAATATCTCTTTTAATTATTTATTCTTTATGTATAAACATAGTTATCAAATCGTGTATCGGAAGGCGTATCGTAAGATACAAATATTGTATCGTATCGTGTATCGTATCGTGTATCGTAAGATACGATGCAATTTTAAATAAATAATAAAAAAATATATATACCTTTGAAAAAAAGTCATACACTCATAAAAAATATAGCATTTCATTAATACTCCACCAACTATTCAAGTTATCAACATAATCCACTACTATTATAATGCAAAGTTCACAACCATAGTTCACTAATTCAAACTTTAAACACCAAAGAGACTTCTAATCCAAATTTCTAACATCCATTTTGAACTCAATCTTCAATTTCAATTGAAAATGCATCATCATCATCATCATTGTGATCGGATGCCAACAAGTCTTTACTTGTCGTTTTTTTAAAAAAAAAATCAGAGCACAAAACGACGTCGTTTTTTAAAAAAAAAAAAATAATAATAATAATAAAAAATTGCACGTATCGTACCGATACGTATCGTATCGTAAAAAACGTATCGTGTATCGGACGATACAACGCAAAAACGATACATAACTACGATCCGTATCGTTTTAGGGCTGTATCGTAACGTATCGTACGATACGTATCGCGTATCGTACGATACTAACAACTTTGTGTATAAATATCAGTTTCTATTAAAAATATGATTGAATACATTACCCTTTAAAAATATGCATCATTATATTTTCAATAAAGTACAAAAATTTTTCAAAAACTTCATCAATATAATATTAGTCATCTCATATACAAAAATAACATTATGCTTACATATGTTTATTTTTTTTTCATCGAAAAGCTTAATTCATTTATTTCTAAGATAAAAAATAATCATATATACAGTTTTTTTAAATCATTATAATTCTTCAGTCACAATAAATTTTCTAAGTTGTATTAAGATTTTATGTAAAAATAGATATTGTAGTATATTTTTAAGTAAAATTTGAATTTTTTAGAACTTTAATATGCTTGATAATATATATTATAGAGTAGTATATTAAATCTTATCTCATTTGACCTACCTAATTTCTAATTACAATAAGGTTCCAATGTGAATTTGATTAGTATATTGACAATTACTTTTATTTTAGTGAAATCTTAATCAAATGAAAAGCTTAATTCATTTATTTTTAAGATAAAAAATAATCATATATACAGTTTTTTTTAAATCATTATAATTCTTCAGTCACAATAAATTTTCTAAGTTGTATTAAGATTTTATGTAAAAATAGATATTGTAGTATATTTTTAAGTAAAATTTGAATTTTTTAGAACTTTAATATGCTTGATAATATATATTATAGAGTAGTATATTAAATCTTATCTCATTTGACCTACCTAATTTCTAATTACAATAAGGTTCCAATGTGAATTTGATTAGTATATTGACAATTACTTTTATTTTAGTGAAATCTTAATCAAATGAATTTCAAGAAATTAAATTCCTCAAACATCACTAAAAATTCAATCTCAATCACAGAATTATTTTAAAAAAAATTAACTATTTTTTTATGTTTTTTTTTTTTAATAATTAGAACAAAGAATTTTTTAGGAGCATTCAAAATTTTCATAATCTTATAATAGAATATGAGCAATTAAAAATTAAGTTTGGTAAATTTGAGATGATATTTAATTTAAATACGCATATACCTAATATATTTTACTAATTTTTGTGTACAAAATTTATTCACGTGCAACGCACGTGTTGCATTGCTAATGACAAAAAATGTACACAATCAACAAGACAAAACAATATAAAAAATTGCGTAGATGTATATGCTCACATAGTTTCAACATCTAAGCATATGGCAAGCAAAAGAAATTGTCTCCTGCATCATTCACCTTCAAAACTTTCAATTTTAAATAGATTAAATACATGGACAACCATGACTTACACAAATCCAAAGACTTTCAATTAAATAACTTCTACTAAATTATTTTAGCCGCATATATCCATAAATTTACATCAATACTCTAAAATGTTATCTATTACCAACTTTTGGCAAAAAAATCTGTTGGTTACCTTGAATAATTGCGTCAACAACCTCAAACTAAAACCCACTTCTAGTGCACCCTCCAATGAAAAGGAATTAATTCACCCGATTGAGCTTTATGTAACACAACTATATGTTGTTACCAACTCAAGCGGCCATGAATGCAATAAAATTTTCCAAAAAAAACAAAAGTTTTCTCAAAAAAATTATTATCTACCTTCTAAAAATCTTGAGAGGCTCATTGTAAATAAGTGGAGTGACCCTAGCACCGACTAATTAGATGAACTTCACATATGATGCCTCGATATATGAAGCCATTGGTTGCACTGTTGAGTTAGCCGAAGGCGCCATAGCAAGGATGGCTCACATACTAACACCAACAAAACCAATCAACTATTAAAATACATTCTCCTTAGAAAGAAAAAAAAGAAATATAATTGAAACTCAAAATACCCAACAGGCTTGACTCATATTTGATTGACAAATAAGATAACCATATTAAACCAAAAAAAAGACGACGAAATGCAAAAAGATAAAGTATATATACATCATGCCACTAATTTGATTATAAACCCACAACCTACAAATTGAATTATTTTCAATGACTCAGTTGAAACAAAATTTACAAAATGAGTACAAAAATTCCAAACCATAATTTGCATCCTAAATCAACCTGTGTAGTAGTTGGGTTGTGGGGCTGGCCTGAGTATACCCCACCCTCACATAACCACCCCCTTCTCGCCTTCCATCCCTCCCACTAACACACACACACACACTTTTGTAGATACACTCACAGGGATCAATACACATACCGATGGAGACAAAATGCCAGATGGTGAAGGGGCAAAGAGGAAGAGAGTAGAGATTTATTGGTTTTAAACAGATATCTGGGTGGATGAGATAGTGGCAAGTTCAGATGTGGGTTGAAAATTTGGATTTGGTCGCTGAGAGAGGGAGGGATATATGTATACATACATATATGTGTGTGTGTGTGTGTGTATATATATATATATGTAGAGAGAGAGAGAGAGAGAGAGAGAGCCTGGGCGTACTCATATCCTACACACACATCGATAAAGAAAACAGACAACAGGATTGATTGTAGATATTGTGGGCTCGCTTGTGCGTGTGTGTGTTGCTGTGTGTGCTTTTTGCGTGCAGGAGACAGCAACAATTGGTTGGGGAGAGAAGCAGGAGATGAGGGAGGGTCTAGGGGGCCTATGAGGGAGAAGACAAAGTGGGAAGAGAGAGAGAGGGACAAGTGGGTTTGTGTTAATTGGGGTTCGTGTGAGAGGGGAGGGGGATTTATAATTTTGGGTGGGAAGAGTTTTTGGGGACAAAATTTATAACTTTGGATGAAATTGGATGAAGATTGGGTTAATTTCAACTGTTGTTGTGTTTTATTAATGTAGATGTGTCTGGCTTTTCCTATCGGTTATGCACTAAGCAAGCATATCTAGCAATTCAACTTTATCTGCTAATTGTTCCGAAGACCATCTTAATATGTTCTTTTTAGTTGTAGAATTACTTTACAATGAGGGAAGTCTGTAACCTATGTCCTAGACAATTGGACACATACATGTACACTAGGCCGTGTAACTCAGGCAATCACAATAGATATATTGAAGTTTTTGAATACCTACACAATCCTAACTTCATAATAAAAGCCTCGGATGAAGAAAGTCCTTGATACGTGCCTACAAATGTCACTTGCTTCCAGACTATTGTAAAATACATTTTGCATGTGTACAAAGTCCTTGGTTTGTCTTGCCAATTTACTTGTCACTTATTTAAGTCTGCAGAAAATTAGGTGTACTAATCTGGAATTGCGAATCTATTCCTTGTTTTCAGGATGGAGGATTTGATTTAGATATGACATACATCACAGAAAATATAATTGCGATGGGCTTCCCTGCTGGTGATATGAGCTCTGGTTTCTTTGGATATGTTGAAGTAAGCAAATTAAACTTCTGTAAAGCCACACATTTAACAATCATAGTTTGATTATGTCATCATTTTACTGAACAAATTGAAAAATACAATGTAGGGATTCTACCGCAATCACATGGAAGAAGTAATCAAGTTCTTTGAAACTCATCACAAGGTAATGACATTCACGATTTATCCAATACGGATATGTTCATGGTTATGTATGTACTTCTGCGAACACTATGGTAACATGGCTGCAATGTCTTGAACGATGCTACAACTGTTATCTTTCCATCTTTGACATAAGAGATGAAAATTAAGATACCCCACTTCTGAGTCTATTTTTGAAAGTTGTATGAGTCAATGTATCATACTTTCCGACAATTGTTCTCCGAGACATTTTTTGGTGAGTGTTTTCTGTCCATTTACAATATGCCTGCTGAGACTGTCAATCTGTTTATTTATTAAACTCCTTGAGTAGGAAACTATATGTTTTCCATTGAGTCGTCGTCTCAGTAAAAGTTAGGTTAGCTTGACAAGTTATCTGTATATCTTTGAGCTGCAATCGTATTTGTATTCTAATAAATGTAGTCCTTTACTACTTGTACTCTGTTATTATGTAGCGTTACCTTGGACAATCTTGAGGCAAAGCAATAAATGGGAATCTTGCTCCTCCTGGGATCTCTCTTCTCACCATCATGTTTGATAGAAGGCGACCTATGTTGTGATTTTTTCTTCCCATTTTTCTTCCTTGTCTATCTTCAGAAATTGAAGACCTTCCAGTAGGCATAAAGATACCCCAGCATGGTTGCAGTTGCTGTTGTGCAGCGACACTGTATCAAACAGTCAGAACTTTGGAGAAACCAGAACTTTGATATTTCTATCTTTTTTTTAATGTGTGTCATCTGTGCAAAGAAGTTACATACAAAAAAGAGATAGAGGGAGGGATGGAAGGAAATCAGCTGCATAGGTCGCCATAAAATAAAATCAATTGCCATAAAGATTTTACTTCTTGAGATTTTTAATAAATTAAGATGCAAACTATATATGTCTATTTGATCTCTAAGCTATTTGTAGGTTGTCTTGAAAGCATTTTGAATTTGGATCAAGTTGGATATAATGAAGTGAATGACCTTGTTACCAATTTGCTTCACTCGTTTAGATTGACCCTTCCATTTTTGCGCATACGAAAGAAGGTGATCAATTTAGTTGGATTCGTACATGTTTCAACCAAGGATCAGCTGGCATATTTCACTGTCACACTATACCATCAGATTCGGATATCATGCTAAGAGAGCCTATATATTACATCAAATAATTAAGACCACCAAAGTTGGTTTATATACTTGAGCGGTTGCCCCACCTATTGCCAATTGGTTTGAATTAGAGTTTGGCCTTGGGTGGTCAAGGTTAAGTATCCTGATATGGTTGTATGTTTGTTTGTTGACCCCACGTGCGAGCCGGGGTCCCATGTGAGGGAGGGTATTAAGAGAGCTTGTATCCCATATCAAATAATTAGGATCATCAAAGTTGGTTTATATACTTGAGAGGGGATACTCCACCCATTGCCAATTGGTTTTAGGTTGGATGCTCTAATAATATTTATATAGCAGAATAGTCGAAGAAATCTTATTATGGAACAGATGAATTCCAGTGCTGAATTTATGAACATCCTCCAACTGATATGGGGCCTTCTTTTTCACCGAAGTTGACATATTGTCCAGAAACTCTGCCATACTTCACTTTCATAGTCTGGAGCAAACCGTTGATTTTCTGGTGTTTCATGATGTAAGAGGATGGCTATTGTTGCACCCTGGTAGTTGGTATGTTTATAGACCTGGTCCTCCAGTTCGATCTATTAGGGGTTGTGACCCAAGCCATCCATGATAATTGTTGCTTTTTGTATTGAACAGGAATTGGAATGACGAATCACACTTGTTCATTTTGGTTTGAAAATTTAGGGCTGGGTTTTTTTTCTGGGGAAATGTTTTGGTCAGGTTGGCAGATCTTAAGTCTTTCTGTTTATAAGTTTTTATTTGTGATTTTGACTTTTTTTGCTAGTCCATTGGCACCTAAGAGTCCTTTATTTGTCATTTGAACCAAAGAAATATTATTTGCCATGAATTTACAGATTTATGAAACCATATGATTGCAGACATGTTTTTAGTGAAAAACCTCAATTGAAATTCTGAAATGGTGGTAACAACTAACAATAAAAAAAGAAATGCCTGCAAAACAAAATTGATGACATAGTAAGTGGCTGACCATCTTTGAAGGCATCTGCCAGTTCAGATACTTATGAGTGCATTTTGGTTAAATGAAGAAGCAATAAAATATAATATACTATTGTGTATCATTCATTTCAAATCCTTGGATTACAGTTGCAAGCTTCTGGTCTGTCATTTAATAGGTGGGGGCTACGTCAAGGGTTCGGTTCCTGTAGTTCTTTTCCTTTGATATCACCTTGAATTGATTGGTTTGATTCATTATGATAATTATTTTCCTTAATGGATTACATTTTGATCTGAGGTTCATCTCTTAACCAATTGCTTTTCTCCAGTGTGTTGCTACAGATGCCCCACTTCATATATTATCAATTTGTGTTATTTGCTTGTGATCGTTATTTCATGATGGTATTGGTGTTCAGAATCTCAATCCACATCTTTAGTATCATTTTATATCACCTCGCCTTACTTTTGATCAATTTCTATGCAGGATAAATACAAAGTGTACAATCTATGTTCTGAGAGGTTGTATGATGCATCATTATTGGAGGGAAAGGTGTGACATTTTCTTTTGAAGCTTGCGAGTTTCTGTTATTGGAACTAAATATCTGAATTGTAGGGGCATATTTGTTGGATGCTTAAATTTTTTTGACAACTTGGACATGGTTGGTAAACCTTCAAATCTTATTTTCCCTAAATATTTATACTTGATGGCTATCTTTGAGCTGTTAATTGCCTTTGATTTTGATTTTCTTACCACTTTTAAAGCTACCAGTTTCAAGGGGTTGTTTTTAAGTTAGGATTATTGAAAATTGGCATGGGGAGAGAGCTGTTTGAATCTTGTAATAAAGTTGAAAACCGTTCGTACTATCCCCTTGTGTTTGCTCAATTTGAGAAACTATCACAATTTTTCAAGTACTGTCTAAGGTTTGGATGAAAATTTTAGAAATTTAAGTAGCCATGGTTTCCACATAAACACAATTGTAAAAAACATGTGTGATTCTTCACCTGAACTTATAAAGCTGAGTGCAAGTTATATGTTTTCGTGAAAGCAATTTATTCAGCTCAACTCTATAGGAAAGTAATTATTTGCATTGTGAAAGGGCAAATAATTACTTTCCTTAACATTCAGTAGGTGCTGTGCTGTGGTTTAACATTTGAAAATTTAGATGGTTTGATCTTACGTATATTCTGTGTATGACAGTTTGTTATACGTGATATATCTTTTCTTTTGCAGGTGGCCAGTTTCCCATTTGATGACCATAATTGCCCTCCCATACAACTCATAATATCATTTTGTCATAGTGCATACTCTTGGTTGAAGGAGGATATCGAGAATGTTGTTGTTGTGCACTGTAAGGCTGGAATGGCCAGGACAGGGTTGATGATTTCTAGTCTTCTATTATATTTGAAGGTATGATGCATATAGTACACTCCCTGAAAGGCGGCAATGTTATTGTGAAATAAAATAAACACATTTTTCTCTGGCACAGATTCTTATTTCCTTGATGGTGTTTTATTGATTGGTTTTTATGACAACAGTGCTACCTTGTGTGTCATCACTATGCAGTTCTTTCCCACAGCTGAGGAGTCTATTGACTACTACAACCAGAAAAGGTGTTTCGATGGAAAAGGGCTTGTTCTTCCGAGTCAGATTGTGAGCTCTCTCCCTCCCTCCCCACCCCCCAAACACACAAACCCCCAACCCTCCTGAGCTTCTATGTATCTTTTCTGATAAGTGTATCTTTTCTTTTTCCTTTAAGAGATACGTCAAATATTTCGAACGTGTTTTAACTTACTTCAATGGAGAAAACCAGCCTGGACGCAGGTATACTTCTTACCACATGTGTGGCAAAATGCATTTTTGCTTTTCATGTTGTAGAAGCATTTCACAGCATAGAACTTATATTATTGCGTGAACCTTAAAATTTGCAATCCCATCCTTTGTTCTTGCCTGTCACCGGTTGTGATCCTAGCTTGAGATGAATCATGACCTGTTTGGTCAACCCCACTTACAATCTAATGCTTTGCTTAATTTGTTCTGAATTATGTTATTTTTAGGTGCATGCTTAGAGGATTTCGGCTCCACAGGTGCCCATATTGGATTAGGCCTCATATTACGGTCTCCGATCATAATGGTACGCTGCACTATTCTTTTTTGGTGTTGGATGTGATTTCATCTCACCTCTCAGCTTCTTTTGATACTTTGTCCTACTTAGTTTATATACTATTTTTTCAGTGGTTACTAGAATTCTCTCCCCTTTTTATTGCTTTAGTGAAATTTTGCTGTCAAATGGCTCCCTCATACTTCAGAATTAGTTGGCATTCTTATTCTAGATGGTCCTGTGGCCCAATTGGATAGCTTGCTTGTATTTGTTCCCCCCCTAACCCCTTTATTTTCCTTTTTTTGGGCTGCTGCAGTGGGGGTGATGTTTTCTTTTCGGGGGTAGACTGCTGGTCATATTTTTGGGGCATTCTATGAGGGAAATCTAGTGGTTTTGGTTGTTCTGTTCCATCGTGGAACAGTTGTCAAGATCTGATTCAAAGTGCAGTTGGCCGTAAAATATTTCTGAATCTGATTTAAGTGCACTGGGTATAAATTCCTTGTTGGTAGACAACTGGATTCAAATTTTGATTGCAATAATTTGAGTTTTTTTAATTCTAGATTTCCATTGTAAAGGCTTTTGCACTTTGCAACTTGTATTGCTTTAAAATCATGCCACTCATTTACGGAACATTGATATTTGGATGATATTTATCTTATTTTCAGGTATTCTCTTTTCTACAAAAAGCATCCAAGAACCAAGGATCTGTCGGTAGGTCTCCTTGATAACATCGTAGCAAATAAAGATCTGTTTTCATTCTTCTGTCAAATTCTATCCATTAGGGATAAAATGGCAAATCGGAAGATTTTATCAAGTATTGCTTTTCTTTAAGCATCATCA